TCTTCTTCTCCTTCTTTCTTTCTTCTTCTTCTTCTTCTTCTTCTTCTTCTTCTTTTTCTTCTTCTTCTTCTTTATCTCTCCCTCCTTTCAAGTTCATCCATTTCTTTTGCAATTGGACGGCATTGTACTTTCTTGTGAAGTTTGCACTTTGAAATTGACCAGGATCGTAACAGATAAGGCATTTGGATATTTGGATAAGGCATTTGGATATGTGGATAAGGCATTTGGATATGTGGATAAGGCCTTTGGATAAGAGGGCGGTGATCTCTCTCTTATGGTTGAGGTTTCTCATGCAAATCTGGAAGCGATTAAAAGAATTATGGACACCTTCTGCAAGCTTTCTGACATGAGGGTAAATTGGGGTAATAAAACTCTAGGTTGGTGGATTCATTACCAAGGTGTGCAACCCCTAGAGCAACCCCAAATTAAATGGCTGCAGTCGGATGTACCTATTAGAGTCCTAGGTGTTTCCCTATCTACCTCTGGTAAACCATTAACAGTTAATGAAGGGATTTTGCATCATGCCCATTCAAAACTGCAGCTGTGGAAAATAAACATACCTCCTTATTTGGGAGGTCTCTTGTAATCAACAATGTGGTCCTAGCCTCTATTTGGTACAAATCTGCATTATGGGTCTTAGATAAATTGACTCTCAAGACTTTTCAGCGTCATTTGGCAGCCTTTTTGTGGCGTGGGAATCATGAGCAGGAAAATGTCATCAGCAGAGTGGCATGGACATCTATAATCCAACCAAAGTCTATGGGTGGTCTCGGGATCATTGATCCTAATACCCAAGCTATAGCCCTTTCTATTCAATGGATTAAACGTCTCGTATTTAACCCCATCACTCCATGGATCCCTCTTGCCTGTGAGCAGATAAGGAGATTAGCTCCCCCCATTCCAGTCGAAACCGACCCGTTCATGTGGCTAGAGAACCGATCCTGATCTCTTCCAAGGGGCAGTTCAGTGGATCTTCAAGGCCTGGATCCGTCAGATGGACAAGCAGCTAGGAGTGACCTCTGTAAAGATCCCTTTTGGATTGCATTGTTGAAAAACTGGAGGAAACTGCCCCTACCAGATAAAATACATCCGGCAAGATGGGAGGAAGTTTGTCAACAACCCATATTTAATAATACATTTATCAGGGATTCTCAAGGATGTGTTCTCCACTGTAAGGATAGCCCATGGTTAGCTGGATTCGGAGAGGAATCATACGTATTAAGGATCTTTGGAATCATGAAACAAAGGATTGGTTTTCTGCCCTAGACCTTCAAGAACGACTGCGCTATAGTCATCATCAGAGGACTGCATTGGATAATATCATCGAGTTAATTCCTTTGGACTGGGTTAGAATTTTAAAGAAAGGACCCAAGTTTCTCCCTGGTGACTGGATGACAACTCGATGTTTTAAGGGGATAAAGGGAAATATAATTGAGATCCGTAATTCAGTGGATATTCTAATATCTATTCTTGATTTACAAGAGGACAGTTTTCTTGCTCCTAGATCTTAGGAGGACACCATGTGGTGTACGACTGACCATCTTTTCCGGGTGAGAGTATTATATGTCAATGATAAATGACTCTCCTTCAAACCTAAAATACCAATATCCCATTTACCCTTTGACCCTCTATATTGGACCTGGTCTTGCCCAGGTAGACAGGGTCGTTTCTATTCTAGATCCCTACATACTCTCTCTGTGAAGTCCACTTACAGAATGCTTCGCCCAAGGGTTAATCTTAGAGATCGCATTGAAGATTGATGGATGAAGAATCTGAAAATCAGTAAGGAAGAGTTAAGAGGAGTTAAGTGGTTTCATACCTGCAAATCTAAACCTGCTAAGGTAGCGTCCTTGCAATGGCAAATATCCCACCAATGCCTCCCTACTAATAACTGGATCATTGACAGAACGTCGTTAAAACAGAAAGGAATCGCTCTTCCTTGGTATAAGTTTTGTAGATCTGCCTTCCCATCCAAGCTCTTTCCAGAAACAATCGAACATATTTTTCTCCAATGCCCAGGTTCGGTCTGGCTTTGGCGTTGGTGGGACAGGATTTGGAGCCAATTGGGAACCACTCTCCCATGGTCGTGGGATTGGAAAGCCCTTCTCCTAGAATTCTAGCATCCTGGACAAGTGGATGAGTTCACTGATAATTTGTTTATAATTGGCAGAAGAGCAATTATTTGGGCAATATGGGTTAGAAGGTGTACCCACGAAATGGAAGGTGCCAGATTGGATGGTCCAAATTTCACTAATTCTATTAAACAACATATTCAAACAGATATCACAATTTAATGGGAAAATTTAAAAGAAAAAATTCAGCATCTTTCTCTACAAAATGAGATATGGCATCACATCAAAAAGTTCAATAGAAGCTGGCTTGGGGGAGACCAGGGAGGGAGGTCGGGGAAGGTGTTGTGGGAAGGAGCTCATGAAAATTCACAAGGTTATTTTCAAAGAAATTATAGACTAGTCTTTAATGACTGGAGTCTTGTTGACCCCACTATTCCCCTAAGACCCTTATCTGACTTCCCATATCCCTTTCCCCTACCAGGTTCCTGTTTGGTTCCCTCATCATGGTATGGGTAAGATCAAAGGGTCATCCCCTTGGGACTATTTAGTCAAAGTATTTTGGTTTGTGCTTGGTAGTCACGAGTTCCTGGCGCCCAGTGTGGGTGAAGAGGCACAAAGGTTCTAGCTTCAGTTTTCTCATTCGATCTATTCTTCAGTCTTCATGTGGGACGCTGCACCCGGTTTGCAACCATGGCTCATTTGTTGTGTTTGTATCAAAAGGGACGCTGGACCCGCTTTCCAGCAGGTGCAGCTCCCCACCAATAGATTGGAGCTCCCGTAAGATAGGTAGGAGTGTATGCTCATACCATCACTTCTAACTATCGAGGAGGTTTTTTTTCAACAACAGAAAAAAAAAAA